CCTTTACACGTCAAAATTAACAATCAAACCTTATGCAAAATATGGAAATGATACCTTTTTTATTTTTTTAAATTACTGTTCCAATAATATGAAAATTAAAAACTGTATTTTTTCTTTACAAGGTATTATTTATTGCTTCTCCCAAATCAACTGTCTAAGGGTGGAGTCTTCATTGGAAGCAGTAGATTTCTTCTGGTAATCTTTGATATTTTTCATTGCATCTGCAATTGGATACGATAATAACTGAAGCATATAAATATATAAAAGATCTCTTCTGACATTTTTCTCTTCAATGGTGTTGAAAATATGATTGTTGAACAAAAATTCATGATAAACAAGGAATAGCAATAAGAATAGAAAAATTGTAGCTCTTTTTGTGCATGTAAGGAACAAGTAGCCTACATTATCTGATTTGATATGAAAAATATTTCTGAAAATATCAAAGCAACATTTTAGTTAGGTTAGAATATTATGGAATTATAAAGAAATATGATTTGACAATGGCGCTGAATATTATGGAAAATAATGATTTCTAAATGAGATTATACAAGATATGATCATTATAACCTATTCCACTCAAACAATACACCTGTAGTTTAAATTACCTTAAACCAAATTGAATTATAATTAGTCTTCTCTAACACGATTTACCTCTTACAATTTCCTGCTTTCACCTAGTCTGAATTTAAATAGCTGGCATTGTTTACGCTCCATTGATCATACCAATAATACCCTTCATTCATTCACATTATTATGGTAAAAAAGCCGATTTTCACTAGTCCAGGGTACTAATCAGTAGGTCATTAAGGTCATTTTTAGATCAGCTTTTCATTGTTCTACATTAAGCACCTTATTGGTCATGTTTTATTTAGCAGACATCTAAGTACAGTTCATGTGATGGAATCAAAGGAAATTTTTAGTGTTCAGAAGAGTTCCATTGTTTATTTTTTTCTTTCCTAGAAACATAATAAGTTTTAATGCAATTACTCTTCTGTCAACTGTACTGTAATAATTTTAATCAAGGTATTTCTTTCTGAAGTATTCTGTGACAAAGACACTTTTAATAGATATATGGCAATTTCCCTTTCATATGCCTGATGATTGTAATTCAATCCATCTACTTTCAAACCATTTATGGTGAGGATTTTATGTAGGAAACACAATATCATAAGCTTCGTACAATTTTGGATCTCTTACAACTTTCAATAGTCATATATTCTTACCTCCTTTTTTGGAGAGCTCTACAAAATTAAATGAGAAAATGGTTCAGTATTTACTGAAGTTGATGTGCACTTGAATAACTGCTATGTAAATTGCTGTAGACAATAAAGTGTGCCATGTAGTGTTATCTGATGTAATCATTTTGCTGCAGACGCTTAGAATTAAGTAGGATGATAATAGGTTTTGTTGTATATTAGAAAATAAGCCATTTGAGTTGAAATTATGAATTGTATGATCAGGGGAAACCGACAGCCGCTCCAAATGTCAATATAACATTATTTACTTGACAGAATTTTAACCAAAAGGCATGCGCTAATTTGTGAGTGCTATCTCTGACATTAAGTACCTGCCTTAATGAATGTTTTTGATAACGAATTAATGCAATTTCCTGTTTCAAGAATCCACTGTTCAATCACGACTGAGATGGAAATTTCTGACTGCCAGAAGAGAGTGAATGTAATTTTTGTATTTTCCTCTTGGTTCATTAAGTGGCCATGGCTAAACACAAGGAATCATCCAAACTCTCAAATCACTGGTCCATATTTAGTTTTTAATTAACATCTCCAATCGCCATGGAAACTGTGTAAATATTTGTTCAAGAGATAGACAAACCTACAATTTTCTGATGTTTTTTGTCCCAACTAGTTAGGCAACATTGTTTTGTTAGACAAATTACAGTAATGCGCTTGCAGGCTTTTAATTTGAAGAATTATATAATTATGTCGTCACATATAATTGTTAATATGGCAATAGTAGCTTTATGTTATCATGCCCCAGGTTTGAATTACATGCTATCTTCTTACTTGTTGCATGTGACATGATTATAAGCTATGTACACTGACTTCCACATGTTGTTTGTTTACTTATTACCTGCTACCATTTGCATGATTTTAATCTTTGTCTTTAATTTTCGCTAGATTCCAGGGCTTAGTTTCACAAATAATTTGACAATATAAATTTGGCTTAATCCTTTGAACGCTGATTGTAAATAAGAAACACTGTCACCCTGAATTCTAATAATATACCATAGAGAATGTGAGGTGAAAGGGATTGGAAAGAGGTTTTCTTACTTTTGTATGTATATCGGGAACATTGATAGCATCAATTTGCACCATTCCAATTTTCAATCAGATGTCAGTATTTTCTGCGAATACACTTCAATTAAGTGTTTTATGACATCACTTATCGGGAAGTGTTTATATGAAAAAGCATTTTTTTTGATTAGTGACGTCAACAAACACTTACTTAAAACGAAACCCATAATCCAAAACAACATTGGTAGTATCTAATAAACTATTCAATTGAGAAAGTATATTAATGTAGATGAGGAAGTATTTAATAACAACAAATACTATTGCTCATTTGATGTGTAATTTTCAAAATTGATCAAATGTTCTCCATTTTTGATTCACATAGTGTTCATCATGCATACATAGAAGAATATTTTTACTGGTAAAGGGTAAAACTTTATTGAAAATTAATTGGATAAAGAGGGTGGATAGCCTTAGCCAAAACTGCTGAAGATTCATTTTGATTCATGTTGGTTCTATTCTGCCACATCTAATGCTATATCTGGAGTCTGCTTGTTTTTAGAAAGATGGAAGATAGTGTTCCTGACAATTTTAATGATGTTTGTTTTATTACTAAGACAATCTTGATCTAGAAAATCCTGCGTTTTAAACACACAGGGAGAAATTGTAAGGATGTTATCACGTTCAGGACAAAAACAAAACAGAAATTAACAGTTAAAATATTTACATATATTTGATCGAGGATAACAATGCAACTACTTCAACATCAACCAGTTCCATTAATATTTACATTTCAGTAAAAGCGTATCTTGCTCTACAACGAATCGCACTCTATGTTTGGAAAACATGCCGAATGCCAATTTAGCAGGAGAAAATTGGGATTTACTCTTCCATTAACGAAGGAAAGAGGTTGGAAAAGTATCATCTGGAAGTTCTCGTTGACAAGATGAACAAATAATTCCAGAGTTTCGCTAAAATAAACACACAGTTCATTTAGAGGATAATACTAATAGCCACCATTTTATTGAAAGACTGAATAGCAAGTTTTCAATTTGAGGCCAGTTAATGCAGGGATTGACAAGTTTGATACAAGTTTTTAGTTGCTAAATCCTCTTCTAGGAAATAAAACTAATGAATTTACAATCTTGAATATCTATTCAGGTCAAGGATGAAGGAGTTTCTGTACTTGCCAATCATGTCTGATTTGCGTCCATAACTGTCTCATGATTTAAATTTAGTTTTTGGCTTTTTCTTGGATCTAAAATTTTCGTAATAACTACTTTCCTTGAGATGAACAACCTGAACAAAAAGAATGAATCAAGATGGCAGGTGAAGCAAACATGTTCCACATACAATTCCAAAATTGCTGATGTACCGCAAAAAATCACAAGACAAGTTCTGATTGGCTGCAAATTATATTAACTTCATTAATATTCCTTTGTGTTTCAAGAACGCAGGTTTAATGTTGCTCAGGCAATGATCACGGAAGATTCTTTTAAACCAAACCCAACTTTAAGTCTAAGTTAAGATAGGACACATTGAGTGTGATGGTACCCTATCATCTAATCTAGCAAATAACAGTCCATAGGCCTCCAAGAGGAATGTGATTTTACATTCCATCATTTAAGAGTTGTTGCCCTTGATGGTATGTACAAACATTCAAATTTATGTTATGTAACATTCATTTACCTCAGGCTTTTCTATTATCTAACTGTTTTAAACTTTAAATATTACTTAAAGAATTGTTTGTGTTCTATTTAATACATTTGAATAGAAAATAGAAATCCTTTAGTGCAATTTAATATGTGAGAATAATGACAGGATTTATAAGTAATGTTTGTTATATGTACACTATTCTTTCACATAGCCAATTAAATTTCCACTTTATTGCATTCTAAATGTGGCAATAACAATTCCAAATGTTATCAACATTTTCATATTCTAAAGATAATTGTGTGTCCATTAGCCACAGTCTATAAGCTAAGACAATTACTGGGCGTTCTTCTTGAAATCTGTTATGAAAAAAATAAGTTTAAGTAAGGTAAGTTGTTCTACTAAGAGAATATGAAAGGAAGAGAGATATTGTTTCATAGACAAAAGCTAAATGGAAAACATGTGTTTGTTGAGGCAAAAAGGAATCCGATGCAGTGGTCCAAGAAGTAATTAAGTCCTAACCCCTGTTTTATTTGTAAGAAGCTTACATCAAAATAACCGCCTATTTTTTTCTTGCCTTGTTCGCACTGGATAACTTTGACTACTTCCTGTTTTTGTTCAGTGGTTTGTAGAGAAATAATTAAATCAACTTAGTAATTAGCAACTTTGAACGTCTTCTTTCTTTTATTTGACCAGGATCTTCATTGAATTCAAGGTTATAAAAGATTTTCTTGAACTATTGTTTCTTACTTTTTCTTTCAGATTATTTTGAAAGACTTGCTCTAAAATTTTATGTCAGACAAAAATGGAAGCTTCTTTAAAGGAACAGTGCAGAAAAGTAGGATTCATTCCTTTTAAAGTATGTTCAAACTTCATTGAAACTGGGATTATGACTTTGCTCTCCCCTCTTACATTCATTTACAGTAATGTTGTAAAATGAATTTTGGTTTTTACATTGATGTCTTTTTCATGTAATTGGTTAAAACTTTATCTCAAACATCCTGGTTATAAGATTCAGTTTTAACTCTGCTTTTCGACTTTATTAAAGATATTTCAAAATAAACCACGTGAATTCCTCAATAAGCTTTATTGAACATGAATAAGTCTGCTGGAGCCGTGGTGGCTCAGTGAGTTGGATGCTTGTGCACTAACCTGAAGGTCCAGGGTTCAGTCTCAGCATAGGTTAAGATAATACTTTTGGATTTTTCCACCCGATTTCCCCTTTTCATGATGCAGACTGGCGTGGGAAAATTGTCTCGCTTTTAACAATAAACTGAGGCCCTGTGTGCTACAGGCTGTGCACGCTAGAAATCCCTCTACAGTTGAAAATTGCAAAAAAAGTGTAGTGTAATGCCGCTGTTTCTGCAAAATTTCGATCATTGCACTTTGAATGGCATTACCCATCTTTATTAGTCTAATAAGGTGCAGAAGATCAAGTAGGACGTAAAACTCCATTCATTTCATATAATATGAGTCTTTCTTGCTAGTTATTCCAGTTGATGCTGATGAAAATGGGTACAGTTTGAAAGCCTCAATATGGTTGTCCTTTGCTAAAACTAGTAGTAAGTAGAAATGCTCCTCACTTGAGATATTTTCAAGAGCAATTCTGATAATTTTTAGTAGAAAAAAGAGAACCGTATAACTAAGTATTTGGTGTTCACAATTCTATTTCTGTAAAAAAATGTTACAGATTCAGATACTATAATCAAAAATACTTATATACACAATAATCTTATAATCTTTCTTATGTTTCAAAAATAGTCTAGCACTAGAACCATTCTTCTTTGTCTTGTTCTAATGAAAGAATAGAAAAGTTTGAAATCCTAAGACGTTCTTTGATATTTTCAGCACTTTTTGTCATGCAAGGCGATAATTTTCTTTATTTCCTTGTACAATTTGATTGGGATTTGGTGCATATGGTTTAACACTTGAAGTGTTTTCCTACTCGTTGAGCTGTCAATTAGAAAGAAACGGTTCTTTACCATATGTCAATCATTGTGAGTAAAATTAGGGAGTTGGTAGTGGGTATGAAATGTGTTAGAAGATGATAATATAGTGACTAGATTCAGGTGTGATATTGACAACTTAATCATACCTCTTGTTTAATTGAAGGTGTTGTAATCAGTCCAACTTAACGAGCCAGAATGAAAGTAGATTGTCCTTAATAAAAGAGAACATAACTTTTGACAATTGTTCGTTCGTTAGTTCTTTAAGACTAGGTCAACACTACTGCTATCATTATGGAATTTTTTTCTAACAAATTTCTTTGACTGTCTGATATTCCAACATATGGTGATGAATTTTCATGAAAAGATTTTTTTTTTTATTTTCCTGCAACAGTTTCTGAATAAATAAGAGAAGTCTGTTATTAAGAATGAAGAGTTGACAAGTTATAGATTTAGGATTTGTTCTCATGTCAACAAAATGGAACTGGTCGAAAATCTTTTTGTTTATGTTCCCTTGTTGGTGTAGCTGGATGACAATGTAATGGCATATTTGTAGGAAAAGCAGTCAGTCCTAAAGAAATATGCTTCATTGCATACTGCATGGTGTTGATTGATGAAGGAAATTAGAAATAGGAATAAAACTTTTGTTTTAATTCTCTTCTTAAGTATTTAGTTTCAGAACTGAATCCTGATATTGATTCTTTTGTGAGGTATTCTAATAAAAATCCACAAATCTTCATGTCTAAAAGCTATTCTTGATTATTCAAGATGGAATGACCAGGTGTAAGCGTAAAAAAATCGCACTTTAACTGCCAAGAGTGCATTTCTGTTTTCATTCATTAGATAGTTGAAAATTAAAAACCAACTGGTATTTCTTTACTTTTTTATCCCTACAAAGTATTAACAAATATTTGAAACTTATTTTAAGTGAAGTTAAATCTTAGAAATTTTACAGAAAATGGAAAACAGACAATCTAGAAAAAGGTTTTATTCAGGATTATAATGTAGTTTTGAAATTGGTGAAAAAAGGGTTGAAAAATCAATGTCAAACTGATTTCATATCTTACTGTCTAGTACTTAATATTGAGTCACGTTGTAACCACAAGTAATAAATAAAAACTAATGTGAATGTACCGAAATCCAGTCCACATAATTTTTTCTTCTCCATCCTTCTTATTAACTACACGGTATCAGATTGGTTGAATCTGACGCCAATTTTCTGCATGGTTGTTAAAATTGTGATGATTATCTGTTGGTTAAACAAGCCAATGATACCATATTTTACACCATATCGTTAATATCATATGTAATGGACCAAAAGTCATTTCAGCTATCAATCACAAAGTTGGCGAGATTAGCCGTGGAAATTTGATAAAAGCATAAATTGAAAGAGAAACTTCATCCATGTAGTTGAGAGAAGCTGATTAAATGAATAGAGATAATATTGCTACACTGCACTAGCAATCAACTACACTGTTATTTCCCCTCTTGATGCAAGTTTAATTACTATGGTAATATTAAACGCACATTCTACTAGGGTAGCCCAGATCAAAGAGATTAGCCATTTTGTATTTAATATTACTTTATCATGCAATTATAATATTCATTATGTGATTAGAGCTATTACACCTCAATTACTTTGTAATCTGAATAATGGTCACTGTTTTAAATGCTTAAACAAAAATATTTGATACATTCTCAGTGCGTTTTTACCAAAAAAAAAGTTAGGTTTTTTCTATTTAACAAGGTGGATTCTCTCAAATTTTGTAGATTAAAATCTGCGATAGTTTGAAATTTAAAACTATAGGCATGTCTTTGCAGCTGTCCTGGCAAATTGATCCCCTATATAACACAGTCCATTTTAAAGGTATATAACTCTCTAGATATCTTATTTGTCAGCTATCTGTATCACTTTTCAAAAGGAAAATTCTACATCTGGTTCATCTACAATTTGTGATCATAAATGCAAATGATGAGAAACTAAATTTTTCTTTTATTAACATTCTCTGAAGTAGATATTTAGGACATCCTGGAGCTATTCAGAAACCTTACATGTTCATTGCCACAAGAATTGATTAAATTGCAGACTAACAAAACCATACACCCTTAAAAGACTGTCAAGAACTGAAGGAATTGAAATGTCAGGTCATGTTTCTGATAATATTCAGTGTATTTAATTGGAAAAAAGCCAATTACTGGTCATGTAATGAGATAAATTTGATAAAATGATAAATATTTCAACCATCATGATAGGAAACATTCTCATACATTGTTCAAAAAATATTTCATAAAAGAAAGAAATAAAATTACTGGTTGAGATATGATTTGATGTCTTTGTGTTGTTACTAACATAAGATGTAACATGAATGAAAGAAGGAATATAGAAATGAAGCAATTATAAGAAACAATAGACATTGAAAATAAACCATTGTCCTGTTTTCTATATGTAGCTATTCAAGTCAATAGGGTGTATGTTTTGTGGTGGGTTCCGCTCTATCAGGCAGAACTACTTCTACAACTAGGTCTTCATATTTATAGTTTGTGATTCTGTAAAAGAAATAATTATTATTTTCATTAATTACTATTTCAACATTGTTCTATCTCTTTGTTCTCTCTACGCATTGTTTTTGACTTTTACAAGATGGACTATCTTTCTGCTTTTTTTTTCATTTCCAGTTTTATTTTTTAGTTCACTTTCAAAGAGTCACTTTTTTATGTTTCATTTTTATTTCAAAGATTCTGATGTCTTTGAAATCATATTATTTATTTAAAATTTTGATAAATGAGATTTAAAAGATATAATTAATTACCCTGAAGATTAAAAAAAATATTTAATTGTGAATTTTTTCTGAAGAATTTGTAACAATAATTAGTTTGAATTAAAGGGAATTTTAACTTTAAAAGTTGAAAATCCTTATGAAAAAAAAAGAATAAATTCAGCCTTTTAAGGTTAGCTGTATTAGAGTGACATTCTATTTTTGTGACTTGATTTGGTCAAACCTTTAAAAATGGTTCCTAGGCATTGACAATACTCCCTGAAAATGTAACAAGATTGAGTCCATAAAATATTAGTGAAACTATTTATCTTATGGGAGTAAAATTATAATGATACCAATTATTTTACAGGAGTAAAACTATTGTATAACAGAAGTAAAAGCATTACACATTGTATAAGAGAAACTATTGTTTAATACAGTAGTTGAACTGTTGTATAATACAGTAGTTGAACTATTGTATAATATAGAAGTTGAACCATTGGATAATATAGTAGTTGAACTATTGTATAATATAGTTGTATAAATATTGCATAATACAACATTTAAACTATTGTATACTTCAAGAGTGAAACTATTGTATATAACAATATTGAAATTATTGTATATTACAAGAGTGAGACTATTGTATAATTTACAGGAGTGAAACTATTGTATTCTATAAGAGTGAAATTATTGAATATTACAAGAGTGAAACTATTGTACATTACAATAGTGAAACTATTGTAAGATACACAATACAATTGTGTATTATAGTAGTGAAACTATTGTATAATACAGTAGTGAAACTGTTGTATAATGTAAGAGTGAAACTATTGTATATAACAAAGGAGAAACTATTGTGTAGTATAAAAATAATAATATTGTATATTATAAGAGTAAAACTATTATTACAGGAGAGAAACTATTATATATTACAGGAATGTAGTTAGAAGATGTACCAGTGTTACATTTAGTCAAGATGAGAAATATGTTATTATATCAGATAAGTCAGGCGATGTTTATAGATACATTATTGAACAGCAACCAGATGAACAGAGACCAACAGAACAGAAACAAGATGAACAGAGACTAAAGGAACAAAAACAAGATGAACAGAAACAATGCAGTGGAGAATTATTATTGGGACATTTATCAATGGTCTTAGATCTGGTTAGTGTATATTATACAGGGATGAAGTTGATCCTACAGTTATCTGTATCACTTTTCATAATGAAATTTCTTGGTATGTTAATTTAAAAAGAAAGGGTAAAAGGCGTAAGTGACAATAATCTATATATTCAAAATGTCATTAACATTCTTTTGTTCAGTAATTATCAGGAACACCAAAATGGTTTATCATGTATGAAATGGGGCTTGGCATTATAATCATTGTCATCAGTATTGCAAGGGGAAAATCATAACCTCTATGTCCTGATGTAAATGAAAACCATTTTGTTCTTGACTGAATCGGTTCACCAGACCAGATTCAATGTTATGAGAAGCATCCACTAACAGAAAGCTATTGGTAAAACATATATTGTACAAGTACGATGTTTTTACTTGCATTTTTTTCAGGTTTTGGTGAAGAATGATAAATATTTAGTAACTTGTGATAAAGATGAAAAAATTCGAATCAGTTGTTATCCTAATTCTTATAATATACATTCCTTTTGTTTAGGACATACACAGTAAGTTATTAATTTTATCCACCAAGCTCTTATAAAAAAAGGCAACAACTTCTGTTTCAGAGCAATAACTCTTCTATTAGGCAACATTAGCTATGTGGACTCTCCTAATAAACCCTGGCACAGCAGAGTATCAAGGATTATTAGAGTGAGCATAATGAGCATTCCATAACACTTATAGATGGAACTCCCAACACATTAAAGCTGAGAGGTTGAGTGACTGTTGATTTATTCCACCAACAGATTTGTTGGTTTTAAATGGGTCTATCAATGAACAATTTTAGCTCTGAAAATGATGTTGAGTTGACAAACCCAATCAAAGAGTGGTTTCAGGTATTGTGGAAGAGTTAGCATTGACTGTTTAATGCATGACTGAAGAGGAGATATATATATTGTCTTATGGAATTGTTATTATTTTGTAGATTTGTAAATAGTTTAATCTATGAAGAAGAGACTGAGTTATTGATATCAGGCTCAGGAGTAAGTAATAATACTAATTTTCATAATATTTTTTTGAAGAATAGTATTTTAATTTTAAGTGGAGTTAATAACAGGGTTAGAATCTTGCAACAAACAAATGGTTGTCAAGGGTTCTAATTTTAGTCAACAGGTGAAAGTCTGGTGACCTTGAATAAGTTATGTTTCCCCATTATTTCCTCATCCAGGATACCAGTTCAAGGCTTTTTGAAGAATTCTTGTTATTTTAAAATTGTAAAGTAATTGTATCTTGTAAAATTGTAGAGAAATTTTTACTGTAAAATTGTACTTAAATTTAGTATAGTATTTGTATAGTAATTACCATTGTACAACTGTTATTTTTTATTATTAACTGGTTGTGCAATAGTTGGTTATAAGTATATATTGTTATTACAGGATTGTACAATAAGATTATGGGATTACAATGGTCAACAACAGTATTGTCAACAATGTCAGTGTCAGATTTCAGATACAACAGTTACAACAAAAGATACACCGTATATAAAATGTATGAGTTATAGTCCAAAACATAAATTACTAGTTGTTGGTTTTGGAAAGTAAGTAATATGTAACTCATAATTCATTATTTAAATGTAGTCTTATTTTCAATTCAGATCTTACAATTCTTCAGCTCAAAGATTAGCATAAAGCTGAAAATTCATACTTTTGAAATTAGATATGGAATAAAATATTGGACTATATTATTTTTGTAAAATGGTTAATTATATGCAAACATGAAATCTGGAATGTATAATGGTGTCACCTATGTTGTAGTTAATTTCTCTTGTATTTTCAGTAATAAATCTATAGAGATCTACAGATTAAAAAGAGAAGACAAAGAACTAAGTCTAGAATTAGTACAGTGTATAGATATAGAGAAAGATTTATTAGATATAGTAGTTAATGATGATAAGTTATATATATTACAACCAATACAAGATAACTGTATACTAGTTTATAATATTATTGGTCATACAGGGCAACAGAAGGTTAGTACCATCTAACTTTTTTATTTTAAAGTTATATAATCGTTTACTTACACAGCTGATGGAGCTCAATTTTTTGCTATCTGTAACACTATTCAGAATGAAAATTAGATGTCTGGTTAGTCTACAGATACTAGTAAATTTATACGTTTGGAGGTGTCAGAATATTGGTTATATCTACACATTTATTAAAAAATGATAATGATTGCTTTCTGCAGGCTTAAAGGTATTGTAAAGAGGTTTTCTAAACTTGTTATGTGTGTCAGGGACAAATTGATGCTAGCAGTGTCCCAGGTACACATAAGTTTAGAAAACCTTTCTACATTCCCTTTAAGGGTGATTAATAAAAAAAAATGATGCTGTATGGAATTTTGAAATAATGTTTGAAATAAAATGAATTTTAATATTACTTTTCTTGTCCTTGTACCAAAAACTGCAGGCAGCATCATACAGTGTCCAACAGGTGTATTACTGTTAAAATAACTGTATTATTGATTGACTTTCAGTTGACATTGTGTACTGATGAAAAAACAACACCATTTTTTAACAAGCTGAACTCATTAAAGGAATTTTTCTCAGGTAAGCAAAATAATTATTTGGAATTCAAAAGGAAGATTTTCTCTTTTTTCACCAAAAGTGAAGACAGTAGGCTGCATTTGAAACAAATTGGTATCGTACTAATATGAGATACAAGTAATTACGTTAGGTAGTAGGTACTATTTTATTGTAGCTACTAGCTAACGTATCAATTATTACTAATATTACTCACATTATCACACAGTTCTATAATAAATCAACACCTTATTAGTCTGGAAAAAATATGAAGGTCATAGTAGATTAATACCAGAGCTCTGACATTTTCCACCTTATTTACCTCCTAGATAATGAAAGGAAATGTCAAGCTTCTTATATTTAGTCCAAACCATCTCAACTGGTACTCAATGGTAGGACATTGCAATTTATTTATTGAGATGCACAAAATTGTGAAAAAAATGGTTGAAGATAAACGTTCTGCTAGAATATAAGAAAAGATATGAAATAAGTATGGCCTACATGATACTACTTCAATAGTTTTCCCAGGCTGAAAGTCGTTCAAACCTAGAAGCTAAAGGCCTGAATGGCTACCTCAGCACCACAGACTCTGTTAGTGACTTTTAACCTGAATATAGTGCTGCTTCTTGATTTTTAATATATGTTGTGTTAATCCTGAATCTATAGTGTTCTTGGAAATCATTTTGAGACAGTCTTATAAGGTTTTAAGTCCAAAAATTTAAATCCAAATCACCTAAGTCTATTTCAGCAGTCAAACCATGAAAAAAACTTGAATGGTTAATCTAAACTAATCAAGACCACGGCTTGGTGTTTTCTTGATGTTTCCCTATGGAGTTCATGATACCCGAAGAAAAAGCAAATCAGTTACATACTAAACATTCCGAAGAAAAAAGGGAACCATAAGCCACATTGCTATGAGAAAAATGTTAATCTTAATTATTTTGAAGTGATATTCCAGCCATTTGATTGGCTGTTGAATAATACAAAACTAATAAATAACTTGTTTCTGTACACTATACAATATTAAACAGATTAAAAATAGAGCAAATTGTTTTTAACCTGGAAAAGTTTAATTTGATTGTCTGGTAATATTTGAAAAGATCTGCCTGGTGTAATTTGTAAAGTAGTTAAATATTTAGAGGCTGAGGTAATTTGGCAGAAAGTGAAAGTGTGGTCAGCCACAAGTCGTAAGGCTTTGAAAGTGCAGAAACAATTGAATTGTTAATAAGAAAAGACATTTAGTTCTCTTTAACAAGATCACAAGTTTCCAATAATTTGGTTACAAGTGGAAGATTTGACACTTAAGACTGTAGAATGAAACTTGTTTAACTTAACCCAAAAAATTCCTGTTGTTTTCTACTAGAGTTCTAAAATTTGAAATGGCTGTACTGTGCCAACCAGAATTCCCATAGCAACTGCATATTAAAGACTTGTGGAATTGCAGGAAAATATTTAGATATATAGAGTGCAAGGCTGTTAGAATATTCTTAATAAACAGTTTTCAATATATTGAATATGATGTTTCACATTTTCCTGTGGATGAATCCACTTACCATCCATGATCTGATGAAATCTTTTTTAAATCATGTTCAGTCCAATTGTATCAGAAATTGTCATAATTTAACCCAATCTGAAATACTAATAAAAAAGTATACTAACATACATAACACAAATATCCCAAAATTCCTCACATGTAGTCATTAAATCTTTTATTGGACAGGGTTTTGATTGGCTGAATATTCTTAATGAATTAAACACGTTATAGAAACCCAGTATTACAGGAAATACATGATTGCAAGTTGACCTTGTGTTCAAGGTGCTCAGGAAGGTACAGTGCTAAAAAAATGAATATCTAAAGGTTAAATATTTCATGGTGTTTGGTTGCTGCTCTGCCAGAAGTCCCAATTAAATGAGGCTGCCAGTGAGTGTATGTTACCTTCAGCAATCTATTCTTCCTGAAGTTCTATTTGTAAATTTTTTTGTCATTTCAGGTTGTCTTGATCTAGAATGTATCTACCCTAATTTAAGAAAATCAAGAACTGACAATATGGCGGAATACTTGCAACGTAAAGAAAAAAGAATACATGGTGAAAAATTAGAACCTCCAACGTATAACGAGAAAAAACCTAAACTTTCTTGATATTTGTCATAATATTTTTAAGTTGTACTGTGCTCACCATAATATACAATTTTGAATAAAAACTATTTTCATCTCTATTTTTGTGTAATGTTGGTAACATGAACTCTTTGATTGCTTGAAAGTCGGTAACTAATGACTTTGTATTTGTCAAAGTATACATTAATACATTTTACCTTGCTTGAAATTACTGGATTCATTCTACTAGCTGATATTGTACAGAAAACCCATGTTTATTAAAACAAACTAATGCGAAGGTCGCCCACGTAAATTATTAATCATTTCCGAAAATCCACGAATAATAGGTTTCCACGAAATTAGGTTACTTGACTGTATTTTACACTTGACACTCTTTCTGTATAGAATGTAATAGTTTGTCAAACAAAATCGTAACAAAACGTAACGTCAAATTCGTTACCATAACATTTGCGCGGCACCTTTGATTATTAATGCATCCCTGTTTCAATATTTATCGATGTTAATTTGCAATGATGACCTTAGTGCAACGAGGTAAATTGGTAGATGCATTTATGATCATAATGAAACCCGATACAACAGGTGTTGCCAATGTATCCCAAGCTTGACGTGTGCACACCTTGGTGTTTAGTCCAGTGTCAACAAGAGAACTGTCCCAGCTGTATTTTAAAAGTAGATAGTACTCGTTCACTAGAATTTATTCTTCTTTCTTTTTAAGTCCGAAGTTAATTCCGATTAGCTCGTTAACATAATATTGGAGTCGTTATTATTTACAGCGTTACTGATACAAGATGTTACCAATTTCAAACAGCAAAACAACAAACTTTGGGTCCGAAACTTGCCCAACCAGCCTCTGATAGAATCAGAATGAATGAATGAAAGTCCGATTAATTTGTGACTTTTTGACTCTCCAGAGTCAGAGTGTTTATTGCGTTTAAAGTATAAATTTACAATGACATCACTATCGTTAAAACCCTCATGCCAAATTTTTCACCTGACAGTTTCGACTGATAACTTGTTCTATAATTTACAGGAACTACAGTCATCGGACGAGAAATCGAAATAGCGCAAATGCAAGCAGCTATTCCTGCAAATAAACGGATATATATATTTATATATATTGGCGTTATAACCCATGATCAGCTTAACAGTACACTCGTCAACCTGTAATTAAACACTGTCACTCCAATTTTATGGTCAAGAAGATAAAATAATTTGTCCACGGTACGATGGAGTTCATGCGTAAAATATTAGGCGTTAATTCTTCAGTGAAAATGTCACCTACGATCGGCGACTCTCATTTAATTCCCCTAATTCTCTTGAATGACGTCTTTTAGATACCATCTGGTGCAGAAAGGACACGTGCCCAATGACATGGCTCGTGACAGAGCCGCAATGTTCTCAGGTAAACTTTAGAATATTGTTTGTTAAGTACCGTTATTGGCAACATACCTTAAATTTAATTCAATGGCATGAAAATTAATTTATTCTTCTAAAAGAATTCTTGAATTTATATTTTTATTGTCTTTATTGGGAATATCGGTAAATATTATATTATATTATATTATATTATATTATATTATATTATATTATATTATATTATATTATATATTTTAGAAAATTTTCAAACAATATCTAATTTTCAAACGATTTTAAATCATTATTAGAACAAAAGGTTATCAATGATTGATTTTATAATTCATTGTTTTAAATAAATTGATTACATTTTCTCTTCTTAACGAATTTTTAGTAATTTAATTCAAAATTGCAGACAAATTTGTCTTGCTTAAATCGAACATTTTGTTGTAATTTCAAAAATGTTCAAGCTAATGAAGAAAGGGTGTAATTTTATTTGAAAGAAACAAATAATGAATGTTATAATTAAGTTAATAATTGTAGTTAAATTATAGTGGTGAAAACTAACTGAGGAAATTAATTAGCCACAGAAAATTGATCAAGCGTTCGTCCTATTAACTCTTTTCACAGCAAATACAAGATAAGAGTTCGATTTTAACGATCCGATGTCTCACTTGACCTTATTGAGTGACGGAATGCCAACAATTAAATGTATTTTGGACTAAATTGACGTGTTGTTGACAACAGTATAAAAATAATGACCGACAATGATCATCTTTAGGTTTTTGTCCTTTCTTGAAAATCGTAAAGACAAAATTAAGATTTTTGAATTGAATTCATAATGCATAATTAATTGTCTCTGAAAGCTTTCTTGTAAAATTAAATCTATAAAATTTTAGAAATTGATAGAAATGGAGTTTTACACCCCACATTTTTAAATCTGATTGAGCTGATGAAAACGAACAAGGTCACTTGGTGCACAGTGAGAAAAATAAGTTTTATAAGTTATATATTTCATATAATATGATAGTTTTATTGAAGTCCATTATTTAATTACTTTTTCTTGTAAAAGTAGAAAAATTATCCCCCTTACGTCGAATTTACTACATAATAAACGCATTAATAACAAATATTCTTATATTCCCGTAATTTATATTCTGTATATTTGAAACATTTTCTTGTTCCTTACAATATTCCATCACAGCCTATTGTTATATTGTATTCTATTTTTCATCCTTTAGTATATTTTTTTTATATTACTATTTATTATATAATATGTTTTTTTTTCTGTTATATGATTCTATAACAATGTATTATTATTATATAAATTCTCTTTCGTAATATGGTGAGATATATCATATAAATTTATATTTATTATTTATAAAATATTATTATTATCTTATATTTTTTTAGATTATCTATAATATATTGTAACAAATTGTATCATATTTAATATAATATAATGTTATATTTTTTGTTGAATATATATTTCATTTTTATTTTTGAAAGAAATTTAATGAAATACAACACCATGGGCAATATCTTTCATAAAACTTAAAATAGAATATTTCTTTATTTTTCAAATTTCTTTTTGGATGAAAAATATCGACAAATAAACAGTATGGGGACAGGTCAATAAATAAAAACGAAAAGACGGTGGAATTTCGATTTTCAATAATAATATAAAGGCGAAGATGAAGAATATATTATATGAAGTACGGTAATTGATTAGGAATATCAATATATTAAACAATTATATACTTCTTCTTATTATTGACATCTTATAGTAATCAATTGCCATTGTTTCCTGACACTGTTTTTAATCAAATATAGGTTTGTCCTCAATATGTACCTCACAACTGATCAAAATGAACTGGGGAAGCCCGGGTCGATTCTGTGACTGATAGAATCGGGGAGCATCTGGAATTTCAATAACGGCGCTTGCCACTCAACACCGTTGGAGACTGTTCAAGAGACTGAATTTAGTTGCAATCTGCCCTAACATGTTGCTCTTGTACATCTTTCTAGAAGATGAAACGCATCACTTTGCCGACATGTCCTATAAGATGTTTTTTTTTTATGTAAGTTAACATCTTTTCAGCTTTCAAAAAGTGAAAAATAATAATCTTGTGCATAGCTTACATGGATTATGGAGGTTTGCTGAATGTTGAACAGCGCATTGATATGACGGTTAAAAACACAAACAACGTTTACTCATTCACATTTATTTACACGACGTTTCGATGATATTTTTCTAATAGTTTATTAAAATCATAACAGATTCCAATGATATATGAAATGCATTCATCATATTTTATGGTTTAATGTCATTGTATGCTTTTGAAGAGAAAAATAGCAGAATATAAAAGTGTAATTTTTATTAGGCCTACTATTGTCCGCTTTTGATTTTGATGAATTGCTGTTGTAGATTACGGCGGATTATCTAGGAATTAAATCGACGAAAACCAGATTAAATCTATTATATAATTCAAAATTTGTCATTTATTTTTTTATTGAATAAAAATCTGACAATGCTGTTGTGAGAACTGTTGGACCCCACCTTATGTTCTAGAATAATAGCTATTTCATGTTCTGCTTTGTTGATGTCAAGTTTTAAATCTTTTCAAAGCTTGTAATCAACTCCTCATAAACACTAATTTATCATCGAACATTTCCGATAGGAAGCGAATAAATCGGAAATTTTCTAAAGGCACAATGACGCTTGTATACGATTGCCTTTCAATAAAGGTTTACAACTTGAAGTCTAATTATCAGCTCCTTTCATTAATCAGTCTTAGAAAATATCAGCCTTAGAATTATTTTGACATTACCTGCGATTTGACGACACTTCAGCATTGTTTCCATGTAAAAGAGTAGGAATATAAAACAGGAGAAAATGGCAGTACGGCTCAAAGACAGGAAGTTCTTAACTATTCGCCCGGATACTTAAATTGGCACCGGCTTCCGTTTGTATAGAATATTAAAGTTATTTTCATATATTGTAATAAGTCTTAACTTTCAGATTTTCAGATATAAACAATATTTTAGTTAAAGTCTTTTTATCGACTTTCTCTCGGCTGACCTATTTATTTTTTTAAAATCGGACTAAGTAGCTTAAGGCCATGTAGGTTTACTTGGACCTTGAATATAGGCCATGTAAATAGTCTTCAGAAGTACTAGAACTGTACACGAACATTGCGTAAAAATACCCTAAATTTCGATTTGCCCTTTTTTTCATTCGTTAGGTTACTCTAATTTTTTACTATTCGGTCCTTAACCGTTCTAAAACTAAGGACAGGCTCTTGAAAAAGGTGAGTCGCCACTCGCCTAGATCAGGGCAGGGCTTAGGCTACCTATCCATTAATTATACTGGCCGACTTGAAGTTCCAATGGTAATTGTGATGTGATTGATATTAAAATTCAATTTCAATTTGTCCCTTTGAAGATTTCCTTACATCTTATAGATTCTTTAGTTATTGAAAGATGTTCTCTTTGATCTGTGGAACCAATTCTAAGAAATATTTGGTAATTTTAACATGTCCTAGGGGATGTTTAGAAGGTGTGTTGATATAGGTCATCATTATTCCAGACAGAACATTTTTCTGAACTAGTGTGTTTTCCTAAACCGACATTCTAGCGACAATTCCAGGACAAAAGGACATAAAATGAAGTTTAACACCCTATACATCCTTTTTCCGGGTAAAGACAAGACATAAAATGACATGCAGTGTTAATTGGGGAACATTTTGCCGATTTGCCATAAGATGGTCTTAACCAACGCTTTGCCGATTCCCAACGTTTAAGGATCTGTAACATGCATGCACAGCCTCTACAGATCTAATATACCTCCTCTCTAAAATATATAGTTAGTGATGGCATTAAAAAGTTGAGATGGTTTGTTCTCTGGTATGAAAATTAAGAAACAAAACTATAAGAGATAAATATGGGTATCAAATTAGGCTGGAGAGAAACACGCCATATTAGTGTTGGCCTGTTAGCAACTAATGAGGCAGTGTTTTACTGTAATCAAGAATAATTGAATTAACTTGAATCATTAACAAGACCAATCCGCTGTTAAATATCGCCTGCTGGATTTATCTCGGATGCTTCTGACCTCTTATACCAAGTTAACTGTGAGCTAGTCTGAAATTTTCTTTAAAGGGATTGTTAAGAGGTTTTCTAAAAATTTTATGTGTATCAATTTGAACCATTCCAATTTTCTTTCAAACGTCCGTGGTTCGACAAAAACTAAGTGTTTGATGTTACAAATCGCAAAATATGCTGTAAGGCCTTCATCGGCATAGGATTCTTATGTATCCATGTGATCTGTTAACGTGCACAGTCTGCTGCACACGGGGCCTTGGTTTAGGGTTCCATCCGAACTACTGTCATCATTTCAAAGGGAAACCGAGTTGAAAAATCCGAAGTTAGTATCTCGACCTATGCCAGGTGAACACCGATCATTCAGGACAGCGAGAAAGCGTCTGACTCAGCCACGTCGGATTCATTTTCGTGGAATGACAGGCAACTTGTTTCGTAACTATGCCTTAAATTCTACCTCTACATGACGTTGCCTGCAGGCTTGAGAGGGAGTGGCGCGCCCATGTGATTAAACATTAAAACTGTTTTGTAAATTGAATATATAGGTTTAAGAAATAAAAGACTCTGGGTGGACAATCGTTTTTTTTTTTATTGCACATAACTTTATATTTTGGTAATTAAAGGGAGATAAATCCAATATAATTAGATTATTCCTTGTGGGCCTACAGACAAAAAATAAGTTCTAATATCATTCAGGATGAGGGAATTTAAGATATTAATTGCTGTATAATATACCATTAATATCTATTTTCCAACCTTAAGTCTACTGGGCATAATTTGTCTTCATTATGGACCGCGGGTAGGTCTGTTACCTGTATCCAATCCTCTTGATAATGGCCTGGTAACTTAATCTGCATTCCAAAATATTTGCATAGATAAAAATAGTTTGTTTACTCTTATCCGATCAAAGGAAAAGGCTGGGAGAGATAAATAATGTTATACAGATGTATGATCCATGAAGCAGATTCAGTCATATGAATAAGAGTAAGTGTGGTTACGGTTACGAATTAAATGATATATGGGTACGTATTTGTGTGTTTTTGGAATGTTGGGTACAGAAAAGAAGTATCCCAGCATCCATTTCGCCACATATTTTCGAAGCCGGAAGTTGGTAAAGAAAATAACCGAAAGTAAAGTAAACAACCTTTAAATTTAAAGAAACCAAGTTAACCAAGGCTTGATAGTAACCAAGAAGTCCTCTTGATGCTTTACAAGGTGTGTTTTACAGATTTTGAATGTTTTAGATAAAAGAACTTCGATATTCATCCCCATGTGTTTAAATTTTAGCCTATATTATTTGGTAACTAACCAAGCTATTCTATTCATAGTCATACTGACTCACGAGATAGTGAGGTGCCCCATTTTCTCACCCCCTTATTTTATTGCCAATTATATCTATAAATTATAAATGAAAATGAATGCTGCCTGTCTGAATTTTTAATTTATCAGTATAGTAATCAATACTGACTCTCGGGTCACTGATTTCTGAATTGAAGTCCAATAATTTTCACATATCATGAACTGAAATATCAACTAAAAATTGCTACTGAGAGTTTTTGGTTGTTTTTGGGTTGATGAAAATGTCAACCACTGGAAAAGTTATTTTTCGTAAACATGATTTTACAGAGGGAACAATTCAGCTAAAATTTGGGAGTTTCTTTGAGAAAAGGTGTTGTGCTTTTTATTAAAAAGCTTATTGTATTTTTATCAAAAATGCAGTCTTTCGGAAAATGAACTGAACTAAGTCCTTGAAATGAATTAAGTTTTATGTCCTACTTTTCTTCACCTATGGGTTAATGAAGATTTTGCCAAGACCGCAGCATTAGTCATACAAAACTAATATGAATGAAGGCATGGTCTTGAATGAGAGCGCAGGTTATTGATAAAATAACTATAATTAATATGATTAAATAAAAGAAATTCTGTATGTAATGCAAACTACTTTGTCTTCTAATTATGTGTGTGAAGGTAATCTTCTATGAATATAAGGTCTGTAGACAATCTTTTATTAGGTACCTAGAGAAATTTCTATAAGGTGTGAAAGTAATCATCTATAACGATGACATCATTATAACGTGACGTATGATGTCAACAAAGCCGCCATCATTGCTTGATAGAAAGTCTTGGGAAATTAGGTCAAAGCTGTCATTTTATTCCTTATGACGCATAGAATATCCAGGAAAAATAAAAATAAAACATAAGAGTTGTTAAGTTGGTACAAAACATCCCTTTCTGTGTTTGAAACAATTGTCGTAATTTATTTAAAGAATTCCAGAATATTCACTCCGAACTACCCCCATTGACTGCGATCTAGTAGTCAACAAACATGGCGGCCCCCATGATCCGTCATCTTTTTTCTCACTTTTTTTTTACTACCTGTGAGGCATAAATTTTCTGAAACGAATTGATGTATATGTATGTGTTACCATTATAGCCGTCATACTAATGCATACGGTTCTTACATGGAAATAACTCCAACAAACAAAGTCAAATTTCTTTAAAACACGTAACATTTCAGCAAAGCCTTAAAATCACATTTAAAGAATTAAGCCTTTTTAAGAAATTTGCATTCATAAGTCGATGTAGACATTCAACATGGCTGTGAACTACATTCGTGTGTGTTATTTCCATGTAAATACAACATGTAGCATTAGTCTATTCGTTTCTTGATTTCAAACTGTAATGTACTTAGCCTGTAACACATTGGTCGTTGATTTATTGTCTCATTCAAACGACTATAGACGCTTTTCCAATCTCAGTCTCTCAGACCTGCATCAATGACAAAAGATGTCATCTTGACCTATTCAGGGATTGAACCCTGGTCTTTCAGGTTAGCGAACAGACACAGAGAGAATATAACAGTTTTGAAGTAAAGAAAAATATATGAAAACATTGATTTACTGACTTAGTGTAAGGCGATTAATAGTTGTCATCATAATGCGCTTAAAAATGTAATTCTAGATATTGTCCCAAAAAAACCCCCAGACTTTTGATTTTAGATGAGCTAAGGTCTGTATTATTCAAAATTTAGTTTATTTTATTTGTTATTTACCAAAACAGAGAAGAAGAAGTAACAAGCGATCTATCTTTGACTTACCAGTAGCAAAACACAGAACTAAAATGATGCACTTCCCTTGTTTTTGTCCACATATTACTATCTGTTATTCAGTTTGTTTGTACTTGTTAAATTTGTGGCTTCCTTGACAACCTGGACCTGGGAGTAAAATTCAAGTTCATTGACATGTGATTAGACTTGATCTATTGATTACCTATTATAACCTATTATTTATACTGATTAATTATTCACATTAACCTGACTACCAACCAAGTTGATAAAAAGTAATTAAAGATTCATTGAATCAAGTTCAACTCTGATCTTTAATTAAGACTAAATAATGAATATAATCAAGATTGTCAGTGAGCTGAATGTTGTGAACACTCTAGAGATAATACCTGTCAGTGTGTGATACATGATAGCTAGTCATACAATAATAGGATTAGGATTTGAGATTAAAGCCTTAGTTTGTCTATTTTGTTGCTATTTGATATCATTATGTTTATGTTCTATCTGTGTTGATGTTAGTTAGTGTTTTGAAATTTGGAAATATTTTCTGTGTGTGTTGAAGATAATAGTAAATCAATCATGCCTCCACCGTATGTAATATTTTGTTTGATTTAAAGAAATTTAAAGAGGTTTTCTAAAGGGGAGACACAGATGGCATCAATTTGCAACATTCAAATTTTCAATCAGATGTCTGTTGTTCCTGCGATTCCAATGAAACTAAATTCCTTAGGAATTGTAGGAACAACAGATGTCTGACTGACAATTGGAGTGGTGCAAATTGCAACATAAAATAGAAGAAATATTTTCAGTGATTCCAATATATAAATTAAAGGAATTTTGGCTTGGACAAGTATTCTTTGGGCCAAAAGGGATTTTTGAACTCCAGCCATTTCATCTATATTTTTTAATGTCTTTCCAGAATGACATCAGAATGTGTAAAAGTAATAGTAAGATGTCGGCCCATGAATCAACGAGAAAAAGACCTCAACTGCAAAGATGTCATCAAAATGGATAATGAGAGAGGTTTATGTACTATCACAAATCCAAATGATTCTAAGGCACCTCCTAAACACTTTACTTTTGATGGTTCCTATTTTACCGATTCCACCACAGAACAGATTTATAATGATATAGCTTATCCTTTAGTTGAGGTGAGTACCATGTTTTTTTCAGTTAAATCACATAAGTTGGAGGAATGGAGACAAATGAAGAAAAAAATATGGCAGCCAAATGTCTTTTTTCAATAATGTAACATGTATTTGTATTTTAAGAGACAGGTGTGTCAATAAATCAGTCTCAGATACAGGAATTTTTAGCTAAGCCAATCGGTAATAGTGCTCATAGCTCACCGTCCAAATTTGAGCCTTCAAATCCATGTGTGTCCAGAATTCTTCTCATGTTAAGTTACCCTGTAATATATAGAAAAGACTTATATAGTGAGATAAATTTCTAGTTTGAATTATATTTAAAGTAATTAGTTTTTTGTACATTTCTAGTATGTCTGAAGAGTATGTATATTCAGAACTAAAATCTACGCCCCTAAATGCTGTCCCTTTCAACTCACCTTTTTAGCCTCTTTTAAGCTTGGATCGTGCTACAACTACAGCCTTGATGTGAATGTATGAATGTTCTTGAACTAAACATTGATAATAAGGAATAAGGAATAAAATGGGCAATGGTATAAATAGAAATAAATGAAAAGCAAAGCTTGTCTGTTGTGTTTTGTAAAATTTGCAATAACATGAAAGTGTAATCAGCTTACTATTTATAAAGAAACTTCATGGCTTCTATTGGAAATTTCATGGCCATGAAAAATATAATGTGTATAGTGTTGTATTTGTAATAGTAATTATTGATAGACATTTATCATACAATTAATGATGTATATGCTAAAATACATGAAAACATAAATTTCTATTCAAAGTTTACCCCTTGGTCGTGATACATTTTTTGTTGATGAATACAAATGAATATTTACCATTTTATATTAAGGGTGTAACAGAAGGTTATAATGGAACTATATTTGCATATGGTCAAACAGGATGTGGTAAATCGTTTTCGATGCAAGGTATTACTAATCCTGCTACACAGAGAGGTATTATACCAAGGTATGTAATATATTTTTAATATTTTGAAAACAGCAATTTATGAGAAAAAAATGTTATAATTACACCTCAGTTTTAGGTTCATGAAGGCGTCTATGCCTTACAGTGATCAATGAGGTGAATTCTGCTTCGACAGTGGTATTATCCTACTCTAAGTTGATTGAAATGTACTTTGTGTAGTACATATACAATAGACAACTGATGGAAAAAAAACAAAATAAAGGGTGCGATAAAGGAAATTTTGCCAGGGCAGTGGTTTCACTCTTTAAAAAATTAAAGGAGAACTGTTATTTTTTCAGGGCTTTCGATCATATATTTGAAACAGTTTCAGTTACGGATGGTACTAAGTTTTTAATACATGCCTCATATCTGGAAATCTATAATGAAGAAATTCGAGATCTGTTAGGCCAAGATGTGAAAGCTAAAATGGAATTACATGAACATCCTGAAAAAGGAGTTTATGTTAATGGTTGGTACCAATTTTTTATACCTGTATCTTCTAAATATTGCTTTTCATTGCTTGTCATATCAAAATCATAATATGCAATGATATAAGGGTACATGTCCTAATTTTCTGCACCCGATTGGGCTTATGTCAGTTCCTCTAAGCATCATTACAAACAATGTTAGGATTTAGACAAGCTCAAGCTAAAATATAAATCAATTCAAAGAAAACTTTTCAAGGAAGAAATTCTTTTCGATGTTCTTAGATGAGGAAACTTTAAGGAGAAAAAGGTTATACCATGGACCCTTACTTTTTATAAGCTCAAGACACATTCTCATTTGTTATTACAGGGTTATCAATGCACGCTGTACACAATGTCATTGAATGTCAGAAAGTTATGGATAAAGGCTGGAAGAACAGAGCTACAGGAGCAACTCTGATGAATGCTGACTCTTCTAGAAGTCACTCAATCTTTTCAATATATCTGGAAATGGCTAATACAGATGAAGCTGGAGAGGAACATATTAGAGCTGGCAAATTAAATCTTGTTGATTTAGCTGGAAGTGAGAGACAGGGAAAGACTGGTAAGTTCAGTTCATCATGCTTTGACCTCAAGATAAGAATGAAACAACCGTATTTCATAACAATATTGGCTTGTTTGACTGGAAGGATGAAAGATGACTTATTTAAGGTCACAAGATTTTGGCTTAATGATAACATACAACTGCAAAATATGGCACATGAGTATGATATTGAAGATTCCATGTTACTTACAGACTGAGTCATGATCTACCCTCGAATTGAAATGGTGACAGACATTGAAAATCTCCTGAATATTCTCCTGTTCAGTGAAATTGCACACATTTTTCAAACTTATTGTATTGTTGATTTATGTCTGAAACAAGCAATGATATCATTAGGGAAAAATTGTCAACTAGGTTTTTGATTTTTACAGTCTTCATGAAATTTTCAATTTTTAAGGTGCAACTGGTGATCGTCTAAAAGAGGCAACCAAGATCAATTTATCACTATCAGCTTTGGGTAACGTCATATCAGCATTGGTAGATGGTAAATCTAAACATATACCATACAGAGACTCTAAATTAACACGTCTGCTTCAAGATTCATTAGGTGGTAATACTAAAACTATGATGGTGGCCTGTTTGTCACCAGCAGACAACAATTATGACGAAACTCTCAGTACTCTGCGATATGCCAACAGAGCTAAGAATATCAAGAACAAGCCTAAGATTAATGAAGATCCTAAAGATGCTTTGTTACGTCAATATCAAGAAGAGATAGAGAAGTTAAAAGCTATGTTAATGGGAAAGATTCCTCTATCAGCTGATAGTATTTCTGGTAAGTTGATTTGAACCCTAGATATATGTCAATGGTCTTCAGATATATTAGAACTGCATGAAAATTGCATAATTCCTTCAAATATACCTCAAACTAGAAATTTCACTTTTTATACTCCCACATCTCTCTATGTGGACGTATATTGTTGGCACCCCTGTCCGTCTGTCCGTCAACATTGCTTGTAAACGCTCTAAAAACTAGATTTTATGATGGAATCAAATGAAATTCGGTATTTGTATACATATTCAAAAAACAAAGATCAAGTTTGAATTTGAGCTATTTTCGACCGTTAGAAGCAAAGTTATTGCCCTTGCCCCAAAAATCTTGAATATTTACCATCCGTATGCCGTGGTGGGCGTATATGGCTATGGTCCACTATCTTTATTTCTATCCTCACTGGTTCCTCCCCTTGTCTGAATATTGTATGTCTGGTCTATAATAGAAAATTGGGTGTCTGCATGCCCTAGCAAAAATGACCTTACAATTAAATCAATGTGATTTAAAGTAAATCTAAACTCAAGCTTAATGAAACCAGAAGATCACATAAACACACATACACACCTAACCATAAGCAAGATACGTGTTTATTCTGAAAATGAAAACATAATTCTGACTGCTAAATTGAATCCTCTAGGCCTCATTGGTGATATGTGAATTGTATATTATATTGAAGTTGGGTGATGCTTGATGATTATTGGTATTATTATTACAGGTATCAATGTTAACGAGATTAAACAAGGTGAATCAATAGTACATTCAACTGGTATTACTAAAGACGAGCTAGAGGCAGAGAAAGAAAGATTAAGAGATGTAAGTTTCTAATTAAAACTGTCGAATTAGTTCAATTATCAGCTGTTGCTGTGATAGTATATATTGTATATTTAACAGGAGTATGAATTAGAAATGAATATAAATTTACAAGTATATATTGTATATTTAACAGAAGTATCAATGAGAAATGAATATAAATTTACAAGTATATATTGTATATTTAACAGGAGTATGAATGAGAAATGAATATAAATTTACAAGTATATATTGTATATTTAACAGAAGTATCAATGAGAAATGAATATAAATTTACAAGTATATATTGTATATTTAACAGGAGTATGAATGAGAAATGAATATAAATTTACAAGTATATATTGTATATTTAACAGAAGTATCAATGAGAAATGAATATAAATTTACAAGTATATATTGTATATTTAACAGAAGTATCAATGAGAAATGAATATAAATTAACAAGTATATATTGTATATTTAACAGGATTATGAATGAGAAATGAATATAAATTTACAAGTATATATTGTATATTTAACAGAAGTATCAATGAGAAATGAATATAAATTTACAAGTATATATTGTATATTTAACAGGATTATGAATGAGAAATGAATTTAAATTTACAAATATATATTGTATATTTAACAGGAGTATGAACGAGAAATGAATAATATGAAAGAGATGTATGAAGCTGAGAAATCTAATAAGGGTAAATTAGAAGAAGATATGCAAAAACTGAGATCTTTTTATGACAATAAACTACAAGATGTTAATGGACAGTTAGCTCATATACCAACCACTGCAGAAGGTAAATATTTTCATTACACTGGCATGTTCCAGCCTCTGATAGCTATTTTATTTAAATTGGATTAAAAAAAAAAACCAGATATATTCTGAAAGACAGATATTTTTATACAGTCATACAATTATTATCCCCTACACCATTTATCTCACTTCCTTCCAATTTATTATTTTAACTCAACTCTCAGAGGCTGGAATAGGGGTAGATGGTGTGGACTTGATTCTTTACACAAAATTCGTAAAACAGTCCATTGTCTTTGGTTAACTATGTGGCCATACAGCTATGTAGGATTTGGCTGAACAGGAGTTAGAAAGTGGTTCAAAATGAATTAGTTTTATATCTAGTAGAAACCCCTTGTATAATAATATATCTGTCTTAAATCCCATCAACTAATAAATTATATATATATCTTTAGTATTAGGTCATTCAGTTCATAAAAAAGATAATGAAAGTGAGTTTTCTTTTCCTTTTGCATGAAATTTTTACTGATAATTTTTGCATGCTATGTTTGACTAATTTTTTGTTTTTATGATTTGCATGAATTTTTTTGCTTTTCTTTGTTTCAGCCATTGTTTTTTGTATTGGCTTATTTTCTTATACATTTCTGGCCAAATGAATTTGCAAGTATGCATTTACAAATGGGAATGTTATCTAACCCTGAAAATGATACGTCATATGCCCTGAATTACAAATTATGTAATATAACTTATATGTACATTTCTTGTAACAACAATATTGCAGGCCACATAACACATTATAATGAGGCTGGTGGAGAGGTGTTCATGGTTAAGGAAGAGTTTAGCATTTATAGTCAAAGCAACTTATATTAAATGAAAATCAAAGGCTTTAAATTTTCTTTAAATATAGCGTGCAACACTGATTCTCGAATTTTGATATATTTGGAATAAAACTGTATAATTTGTATTAATTGAATCTCTGGTTCTTCACATCTACATCATGTATTAATAGAAATAATGTTGAATATTGGCTAATGTTAAATTGAAACCTCTTCTGTGGATTCATTTGCCTGAGCTATTATTATTGTGACTATTGCATCTCTATCGGGACCACATGTATTGAAATGTGACTATTACTATATCATGACCATTACATGTATTGAAATGTGACTATTACTATATCATGACCATTACATGTATTGAAATGTGACTATTACTATATCATGACCGTTACATGTATTGAAATGTGACTATTACTATATCATGACCATTACATGTATTGAAATGTGACTATTGCAGTGTTTACATCATGACTGTATATCGAAAATCCTGTATCAAACCATTGACACATTTCTTAAACCTTTTGATTTCATAAATTAAAGATATGCCAAGTTTTCAAGTTTTTTAAGTAGAAAAACAATGTTTGCATGAAACTAGATGTATATTTTAAGTTCTAATTGCAACGCTTTTTTTTTTACATTATGTGACTAGACATAAGAAATAGAGTTGTTTTAGTTGCACAGTTTGAAATTTTGTTGTAGTCTGATCTTTGCAAACAGCTGATCTCCTTAGATGGTGACTTTTGCTTATTTTTTCCTTTTTTTTTACATTCTAAAGGCGACATTATTATGCTGAAAAGTTGTAGAAATGTTCTGGAAAAGGAATTTACCAAGTGATTGATTGTGGGTGGAGTCTATTTGGGACAACAGAATTTGTTACCTCCTCTTCATCTTGAGGGTACCTACACAGAAAGTCTTCACTGTATTTATGAACTTTATAATGTGATCTAGTTTGAAATAGTGTTCATACAAATTACTGTGGTTATTGTGTTACTTCTATTTCAACAACAGTTACAATGATAAGATCATCTGGACTGAAATCCCTATGCATATTGTTATTTCTTAACTTAAGCAATCAAGCAGTGTGAACTACCTTAAACGGACAGATTTCCCAATTCTGGAGGTTAATTTGGGCCTTGAATATATATCAATAGCCTTCAGAGGTACAAGAAACACATGAGAATTGTATAATATTTTCAAAAATACCCCAAACAAGGAATTTCACTTTCTCTTTCTATATAATGCAAGAAAAGAATGGACAAGTTGTTCTATTAACTTTCAAACTCAGATAATTCTGGATATGGATTTGAAGGCTCATACCAATACTGATTAGCTGTGCTAAAACATTCCTGTTTCTGAGACTAAAGTATTATTGGTCAAACGTATTGTTGATTCTTTTCCTTTAAATCAAAACTAAGGTTTTTCAGATAGGCCCTATATAATAGTTTACAATTTATATTAAAATTCAATTTAAGTTATTAACCTATAAGATGGCTATGGCTTACATATTCCAATATTTCTGCGAACAATTGTTGGGTTTGAAAAAAGTAGAAATGAATAACTATTATTTATAATTGCCATGAAATGGTTGAAAATATTTAGTTGAATTTGCATATTCATCATATATATATAATATAAAAAATATCACACACAATCTCAATCATATATTTTGTTATATTTCCCCTTTAAAAACTAAACTTTTCTTAACAATTTTGAGGAAATTTCTATGACAAATTAGTGCTTGTATCATCAAATTAAGAATTCATAATTAAATATTTTTAGATCAACAAAGACTTACTCCAAACAATGGTGAAGTGATCGGAAATGGCCACAACTTATCTGCAGAAAATAGTGCAGGATTAGAAATTCACCCAATAGGTAAGCTTGCATCTTAAAAATGTCCAGTTATTACACTCCCATAGCCACCTTTTTTTGTATCATGAATGCAACGATTTGATTGGATTATGCAACAGGGAATACTGTAGTCAAGGTATAAGTAGAAGGTGGTAATAGCTGGACATTGTGAAGATGGCATCTCTCATGATAAAAATGATGTACACAATTTTGTTGAAACTACAAACATGTAATATGTACTTTTTTCAAGCTGTTTCCTTTCAAAGGCACACTCAGATAAAGCATTGGAATTTTGAAATCATTTGTTTCTTTTATCTCAAACACATTGTGGACATTGGTTCCAATCTTGGTTTGTACAAGTCTGGTGACCTTGTAAAGTCATTTTTCCTTGATATGCCAGTCAATCCAGCTGTATTAAGGTACACATAGTCTTTGAAAGATCAATGCCAAGACATGTGACCAACAAAGTTTTAATCCTAGTAAACAATGGTTGCAATTTGACTCTGTCCCTATTGTGGATAGCAAATGTAAAAACTTGAAGCAGGTTCCTGTTAAAATGTATTATTTGACCTGTTTTAAAAGATAATATATTTTTTCTATTATTAGAAATGGATATGATGTGTCATCAAGCACTGAGTCCGGTAAGTTAACAAATTATTTTTATTCTGAAGATTCACAAATAGATACTAATTTTAGATGACTGCCTCTTCTAAAATTCAATATGAAGCCAAATGGTTTAAATTAACTGCAGTCCAATCTATTTATTGGTCGTTATATCATAACTTTATGTAGCCCGACAAATCTGGCTCTTCCCATTCCTTGGATGTAATTGCTAGTTGTTGAGAATTTTTATCATGAAAAAGCCAAATTTGATCATAAGCTGATCAAGATATTGCTCAAAGGGACATTCTGCTTTTTAGTAAAAACATAGTAAATTTTACATGAAAATATTTCTAAAGTATGTTATTTATATCTATGTATCTTTTTCATTAAACTGACTTTGTTTTAAAAGGGTTAATTAAAAACAGAGAGTACTAATTGTTAATTAAGCAGTTTGATCTAGTTTTGGTGTTAGGCTTTATAATGGCTAGATATCATTAGTTGAATAAGAATAAGTAGGAGACATATTTCCCTAAAATCAGGCGTTTATTTTACTTAAATCTGTACAGTAGCTTCCAAAAGCCTAATAAACTTAGGTTATCTTATGTAAACTTTTAAAATAGTTTTGGCATTAAAAATTAGTGGCTGGATTTATTTTAGTTGAAACTTTCAGATATATTAAAGGACACATTTCTCTAGATTTTGGTGTATAGTTTTTGCAAATTTAAGAAAAAAAATAGTCGACCTACAAAAAAGTCGGAATATCCCTTTAACATTTTGCAACGTCCCTGTGGGTAGGCTTGTAACTTCTGCGTACAACTTGGGCTGGGCTTCAAGTATCGTTCAGCTGTAATACAATACTAAATAATAAGATTTATTGTATTTAATAGGCAGTGAGCTCGAGAGTACCAATAGATATGCCAACAGCAGGATCTTCACTTCCTCAAAATACAGATGATGATGATCAGGAAATACTAATAGCTGCACAAGATGAAGCTAAGAAAAAGTATTTTGAATTTTCTTTACATTTTAGAAGTAAAAGCTTCAGTTAGATACCTACTCACTATCTTTAATGTTTCCTTCAACACAGTTTTAATTTTGCATCAGGTTTTATGATAAAAAATCTTCCTAAATTATTGAAATATTTGCTTATAGAAGTTTATATTATTGTAGATTGTTAGAACTAGAGAACCAGATGGTAGGAGGGGAAAATGTTGGGAATAAAGAGATAAAAGAAAAGAGAAGCAAAAGAAAGAAATTTGCAGAAGAAAAGAGATTGAAGTTAGCAGGTATGATGGGAATATTGTTATATACCTACATTGTAAGGATTTGATTTTGATGAAACTTACTTAAAAATTCCCGATTTTTTCATGAAAGTTTGTTATTGTTATTTTCACATTTTGCTCATATCTTTTAATTTATTTTTGAATACAATCTTGTTTCACACAGTTACAGCTAAATTTTTTGCATCATGGATATATATAAACATCCTTTTGGGCGACGAGATGTTTTTTGAAGAAGTAGTTTCTACGTTATTGCCGACCTAAATGGGGCACCATGATATTTCAAGGCCAAAACAAATTGTTTTCCTGTATAAAGTTGATGATATGAAAACTATGTATGATAAATAAAAAAAAAACATATATGTGAAATTCTGAAATACGTCAAGTTTGATTGTTGTAGAATTTCCTAGGGTTAATGAAGACATTTTTTTGTCAAATTTTCAAACAGGCAACTGCTTTGATACAAACTGTTATAATCCCAGATTTTTTTGTCTTAATGAGATGGTAATAAGGAAATCATCACTGTGTTTACATTGGTTTAAAAATTGGATTGCTTTAAGTTAACCGTACTGGGTCCACAATCCTCCCCTGCACCTGTACCTTGTACATTGCACAGTTTTCACTGGGATAACTTACAGTACCTGCGATCCATTTATTTATTATAATATCTGTGTGTTATTTTGTATTTGCACTGTCACTTGTTGTCATTTTAATTGATTGTAAATTGATTTTCTCTTGTAACCTGTAAGGGGTTGATTTGGGGAAATAAACTACTACTACTACTACTACCTAAACTACAAAGTAGGATTTTAATTTTGAAATGTGACATCATGGATAGCTGAAATTAAACTCCATTCTATGACTGTATCCCTATTAAATGTGAGTTGATAGAAATTAAATCAGGTATCTTTTGAATACACCTCTTATTGTTGACATGTATGTTTTTGTTTTTCAGAGGCAGTGGCTAAAATGGATGATGATGGTATTATGTTGAAGTTATTTGATAACGTTCATGATGAATTAAAGGTTAAAAATAAATTACTTGATCATGAAAAGGAGAAGGTACAGTATATATTTGTAGTAAACATGTTGAAATAGTATGAAGAAATGAACCATTATCAGTGAGGTGACAAAAATGACAAAAAAAATGAGTCAAACTTGAATAAAATGAGTCTTTGTTCATTAATAGACTTACCTATAATCCAATAAATCTATAAAACTAAGTAATAATTCGTTAAACATACAGAGCAGACATCTTATTTTCTGTAAGTGATCTTGAATAGAACAAGAAAAAATATTTACATCTAAATCAGAATTTAAAGGAATTGTAAAGGAGTTTTCTACATTTTTTATGTGTTAGTAGATAGTATCAATTTGCAATATTCCTATTTTCAATCAGATGTCTGTGGTTCCAGCAAATCTATTAAAACTAAGTGTTTTATGACGTCAATAATCATGAAGTCCCAATGTGATATACCATATAACCTTAGTTTTAGTAGAATTGCCGGAACCACAGATGTCAAATTGAAAATTGGAATTTTTGCTGTCTTAGTCCCCAATACACAAAAAACCTCTTTACAATATTTTAACATACATTTAATTTTGAGAATCAGATTTTTTTTGTGATATAATCCATAGAGCTGATGAACGTATTCCAAAGAAATAAATAGAAATCATCTTTTTTTTCTATTAGGTTTTAGGTTTGGAGAGAGAGATATTAGATTTGCAGTCTGAATTTGAGTTTGATAGAGTTGACTATTTAGATACAATGAGGAGACAAGAGAAACAGATGAAATTGCTGGAGTCTTTATTAGACAGAATCCAACCTTGTATTCGTAAAGATGCTAACTATAGTAATTTAGATAGAATCAAACTAGAGTGTAAATGGGATAGTGAAAATGAAAGATGGATACTCCCTAAAGTACAAATTGAACGAACAGCTTTACCATCTACAGGTACATTAGCAGTTTTTTTAAGGCATTGTAAAGAGTTTTTTTAAAAACTTTTTATGTTTATCAAGGACACAGATAATATCAATTTACACCTTTCCAATTGTTGTTCAGATCATGCAATTCCACTTAAATTAATATTTTTATGGCATCACTATCGCAATAGCTGCTAATTGATTAGTGACATTAGTGACTGTTATACTGTTAAACATTTGTATAATTAGGATCCACATCTTTTAGCGAAAAAATTGTTTTGTTGATAGCTCATTATTTTTCTAGTGCACTTAATGCCACTTTCACTTTGTTTCACAATTCAGCATTTCTTTCCATATAGCTAATTCAGTTGATTTGGATTTTAAATTTCATTTCATAAAAAGAAACAGTTAGCTTTAAGCTATTGAATATTTATAATAACTATAGCAGGTTTCATACGCAAGATAAATAATGCTTAGCCTTCTAGAACACATGATATCACTCAGCAATAAGGTTTGTCAATGAAGCAACCTTTTCTTAGAAAAATATCATTGTGTACTTTACATTATTTTATTAAAATTTTGTATTTAGGTCCAGGAGCTACCATGCCTGGTGTTAGAAATGTTGATAGTCGTAACAGAGTTCATGCTGGAGTCTCAAATGGAGATCTTGGGCCCGATGAGGCAGAATCAGACAGACTTCGTGAGGTAACAATTCATTTATTATCTATTATGCTCTCAAAATCTTCAACATACCAAACGGTCTACTGTGACATTTCTGGCGGGGGGAGAGAGACAGCCTTAAAGTGACTGCTTCACCATTTTGATTGATTTGGCTCTTGTATATAAGTAAGTAGTCTTCAGAAGTACTGGAAATGTACGAAAATCCTTCAAAAATACTTCAAACTAAGAATTTTAGTTTATTTAGTCATTACCAATTAACTATTGTATTGTACTTTTTCAGAGATTAGGACGAAGTGACGATTATCACAATTCTTACTTTCAAACCAAGAGAGCTAATCGTTTGATTGGTTCTCCAGATCTTCATCAGAAAGTCAGTTAGTATCTCCAAACTTTAGGTTTTCTTACTTTTGTAAATGCTTTTATGATTAGTCATAAAGAATGAAACAACCTAGTTTCACGAGTATCCTTTCTGACAGCTGACCCTGAAACATATGGCACTGATATTTACTGTATCATCAGTACCCTTTACAGATGAGTCCTCTGCAAGAAGGAGGAAAGATGCCTCATTCAAGGTCACCAGACTTTTACATGCTGACCAATGGAGAGTCATAAGATCCTATCTTTTGTCATGGGATTTTATCTTTAGTCATGAAATTCATCTTAAGTCATATGATCTTATTTTTAGCTGTGCTAAAGATCATGAAGTTCAGCTCCATTCATCCAGTCTCCTTTGAAGGCAGCGTCTAGGAGATCACTTTTCTAGTAGTTTTACTTTAGATGCGCATTATACTCACAAATATACATTATATATACACTATTATTATGTACTTCTATGTTTATAGATATGAGAGAGATAAGAAACAGTTACAATGTAACTAATAGCTTATCTAATGCTAGTTATAATGAAGAACCAATGAGTAAAGATCTTCGTGCTGCAGCAGTTCATGGGAAGTTAATAGAAGAAGAAGGTGGGAGTAGACCAACTAAGCTGGAACCTTTACAGACTGGCAAGAAATCCAAGAAAAAGAAGGGTGTTTCTCATGATGGGTTTTAAGAAAATCCACATCGATGATATATCATCAATCACTTTCAATTTCAACAAATATATAAATCACAATTAATTTAAATAGAAAATTCACTTGTCTCACTTTTTAATGTTTGTATTTACAAAAAGATTATTAATATGAATATTTTTCCGAGTGAATTTGAAGAAGGGATGAAACATTGAAGAAAAGATGGGGTTTTCACATGATAATTTGAGTAGTATATCTAATAACATTTGATTTTCGTAATGATATAAAAATTTTAAAAACTTTATGATAAATATTATTGTAGGTGTAAGTCTAGTTGTTTCACTTTTATGTTGATTTTGAATTACAACATGAATATGTTTTATTTTGAAATAAGCTGCAAGAGGTTAAAGGGACATGTTGGAAATTTTTTTTCATCAATCATATTTGAGTCTCTGAAAGCCGATCAGTTATTGTGTTCAAAGCTCACAGTCAAAATTTGAGGTCTCAAATCCATATGTGTCCTGAATTATATGAATGTTAAAACTATGACACATCAATTTGAGATATTCTGAGAAATATAGAAAAGACATATATAGGAAAAGTGAGTAAACTTCCAGTACTTCTGAAGACTATTTACATATATTTAGGATTAAAATCAACCCCCCAAATGGTGCATCTGTCCCTTTAAAGGTTCTTTTCATCAAACTATCAACAAGTGAAATACCTGGTTTGAGGTATTTTTGAAAGAATTATGCAATTATTAGTACTTCTGAAGACTATTTACATATATTCAAGACCCAAATCAACCCTCAAAATGGTAAATCTGTCCCTTTTGGCAAAGTTCAGCATGGATAATAAAAAAAAAAGTAGGAAAATTTTCTACTCGAATTCTCAAAATTTTAGACTGACCGGACAATATGGTTATATACATGTTTACCTTTAATTTTTACACAATCCAATGTCCAGATGTTGTTTATTTCCTGAAATAGAACTGAAGTAATTAATGTCATTCAAGAAGCAAATATGTGTCTTTTATTATTCCAAATTAAAGCTGTTAATTTTCATTTGTACTGGAGTCTAATTCTCAAAAACTTAACTTTTAAGAGAAAATCCAGATTTTAGAATAATAATAAATAATAATAATCTGATGATAAAACTAGATTTAATATTGACCAATCAGTTAAATTCAGTCTAAAATCATCTTAAGTTAGGTTTTTAACTTATGAGACACCTGGCAATATTTGTTGAACCTGTTTTGTTTTCTTCATTAATGTTGTTTAAATAGGGAAGTAATTTAGATATAGTTGTTCTTGAAAGTTTATTACACCTTGTAGTATTAAATCCAGGAATTTAAAGATGAGTTCCCTTATTTTCATTTATGAAAATGCTAATACTGATATGAATAGAAAGTAGAGGTGTTTTAATGACTTGGAAAAATACCAGTTTGTCTCACATATCCATAAATAATTAGCTAAATTAGAAGAGAATTACCAGTGAGTGACCGATCAAGAAAGGTCAAAAAGTTTTTTTTTGGTTTATCCAGACTGTACATATATGGATATTTATGATTGGTTAAAACACTTAATTATATGCAATAAGAACATAATGATATGATTAAGAATATTTGATAATTCATTAAAAACACCAATTAATCAAATAGTTTGCCTACATTTGAGACTTAAAAAAAGGAAACCCATCTTTAATAATGACTTATATATTAAATGATAGAATTTCCGTCCACTGATAATGTTTGCCTTATTTTCATTATTATTTTGTTATTGTTATAAATTGTAATTTATTTTAGTTATTTATTTATTTGTATATAACTGTCCATATAGTTTTCTTGTTCATCAATTAGGACTTAATAATAAAAACAATGATAATGCTCTCCCTAAAATCAAGGAATGATGAGGTCATCTGATTTATATTCAATTCAGTGAAATTGGCACCCTATTCACATAAAATTCAGACCTGAATACTGAAATCAGTCTAAACTTTAGATTTTATAAAGAGACTTCAGTACAAATTACATGACTGTATTTCTAAGAAAATAGAAAATAATTTAGATTGAAGGGATTGTAAAGAGGTTTTCTAAATTTTTTCTGTTTGTATCAGGGACACTAATAGCATCCATTTGCTCCATTTGTATATGTTTGATGACGTCACTCATTGTGAAGGGCCTCATAAGATAAACATAATTTGCTACTAGTGTTGTCATCAAATGGTTATTTATTGTGGAATTGCAGGAGCCATAGACTGGAAAATGGAATGGTGCAAATTGATGCTATCAGTGTCCCTGATACACATGAAAAATTAAAGAAAAACTTACAACCTGTTTAAGATACATATTGTTCTACTTTAGGTTTCAATAGCCCACAATTGCTTATTCTTTATCAAGAAACAGATTCTACATGACCTGCTTTGATTGGTTAAAAATACTACCTCTGGGACAGACATTTGACACAAACTTATTAGATTATCACAATTTTCATTAAATTGGTTTATTCAAGGAGAAAACTGAATACATGAGAATATACGTTTGACTGTATAAATAAATATTTATGGAGTCTAATAATTAAACAGGTAGGCCTATATTTATGTCTGTGATAAAAGTCATTAAGCCTTATTTATTCACCCAGTGATTTTATGCTTTCTGTGATGTATTTAAGAAATTGTAAAGAGGTTTTCTAATATTTTTATTTGTATCAGGGACATTGATAGCATCAATTTGCACCATTCTAAGTTTCGATCAGGATCTGTGGTTCCTGCAATTACACTAAAACTAAGTGCTTGATAGCATCACCCACTGTGATGGGCCTTATGTGATAGAGCATATTTGTGATTAGTGACCACTTAGTTTGAGTGGAATTGCAGAGCCAATGTCTGATTGAAAAGTAGAATGGTGAAAATTGATGCCATCAGTGCCCCTGGACATTTAAATTTTAGAAAACCTTGGTACGATCCCTTTAAAGCTTGCATTTTTTTTTTTTGCCTTTCATAATTTGTAAAATGATTCTAGATCTCAAAGACATTCCATTAACTTCAATTGTAAATAAAAACAGAGCAACATGTTCCTTATTGAAAATTGATGACACAAACATAAATCAATTTTTGAAGTTTTGAAGTACATTGTTTTCGATATTTAAGTAGAATTCAAAGAAAAACAACACTTTGCTGATATAGTCTAGCAAATTTGTTGCACATCAGGGACAATTGATCAACACTAGCAGTGCATATTGTTTTTAGGTCATTAAATTAGTAATGACCACAATATAAATGTGACTTGCATAGTTTTAGATACTATTTAATCTACCTTCAAACAAAGTGAACTGATGTTTCTCAATGTCTGATGCTTCTGGATGATGATGTGCTTATTTTATT